AATTTTAAACTAAAAAACCCCATCAAAAACGCGGTATAACACTCATGCAGATGTGGTCTGCATTTGGTGTGAACAAGCCCTAAACGGTTTTGAATATTGAATACATTAGTATTTTTCTTGTTCAATTTTACAATATGAATAAAGGTTTGATAAAGACCTGGATGACAATTACCAAATGATTGTTTGTTCTTTTGTTTGGGTACCTTAATAGCTAATTGGAGAGTGGGTGGACCTTAAAAAAAATTAAAATAAATGAAAGCATTTTTGGAGTGTGTATGTGTGTGAGAATGCGTCTGTGGTTTGTGTGTCTGTCAGTGTTTTTGAGGACCCATTCACACTAGTACAGTGCATTAATTGCATAGTACCATTCGATTAATGCTTTGTACCACGCAATCGCACCTACTGTGCATTCTGACGTGGGAGATGTGTTGTGTTGCCATTCTTTGAATGGTACCCCAAAAGCACCACCCACCCACAGTTCATACGCCCCCGCACTGGAACGCGTGGTACCCTAATGCCGAGCGTTCTATTGCAGTGCAACTTTGGTCACAACTTAATGACCAAGGACAAATGTGGGTCCTGAGGTCACACAGGTTGAGAAACACTGTATTAGTGTATGGCCAGCTTTAGATCATTTTTTTAAATTTGAGTTCTTACAGTGGATGGATCTGCTGGCTTAACAGAAGTAGATTACTGAATCAAAGTGTGTCGATGGAGCCAGGCCGAAAATGTTTAGCCGAACAGTGACTGTAGTCACTGTTCATGTGTTCTGACCGCATACATGTTCAATGAATACCCTGTTTATTCCTATGGCTGAGTCCGTACTCATGGTGAGGGGAAGCCAAATTGTCTGATTTTGGGGAGGGGGCATCATAAAGTTCAGAGTAGAAATCATGGAATTCCTGGAGTACTTTTTGGGGGGTTTAAAGTGCAAGTTCCTGTCCTACATCTGAGTTTAGGGATATTATAGTTGCAATTTCTCGGGGACAGTTTAGAAGCTAAAATTGTGCCCATTCTATCCTTGTGAACATAGTATCTATTGGCAGACCAACGAAGGCTCTTTTCTGCTTTAGTCGTCAGAAGCAAATTCAGTTCCACTCGGGTGTTTTCAATAGTTCGGAGGAGAGGGAGAAGGGGCTTGTGTTCGGGTCAGATGTTGTAATTGGCCATCAAGGTCGGCTATGCGTTTAGAAAGTTCAATGAAAAAACTACGTATGGTCGCTTTATGGGCAGCCCGGGCGTACATTAGGGCGAAATAGAAGGTTAGTTGAGATTCAATCTCATTACATACCAGGTGGGTACTCAACAAAGATTAATTTAGTCTCCAATGGAACGACCTATTAGGGTCCCTAAGATGGGAGAGTGACATTGTAACCATAGAGTGGTCGTTCCATGCAATGTCACTGCTGATGGAAGAGGTAATTAAAGGGAGTCAGCCATGAAGTTAACAATTCTCTTTAAGTGTATCTAAACCCAGTCCTTATATGAGGTGCCTGCATAAATTTTTCTTTTTCAGTCTGCCCTGAAGTGGTTGTCACACAGGCTGGACTTCAAACATGTCTGCCTTTTGTTCATCTCCATTACATGGTGGATTTAACTCTGTTTAACATTGATCAACTGAAATATAGTCAAAACAGACCTCTGCAAAATTATTTCAATTAATTACAGTGATAAGACACAAAATAACTATCAGAATACACCCTCTTCATGTTTGGAGATGCACATTTGGCAGCAATTGCACTGTTGTGTCTGTGTGGATAGATCTCTATTAGCTTTGCCCATCTGGGTGCTGCAAATTTCCCCCTTTGCTGTTTGCAAAACTGCTCCATCTCAGTCAGGTTGCATGGGGATCAGGAGTGAGCAGCCTTTTCCAAGTCCAGCCACTAATTCTATATTGGATTGAGAACTGATCAGGCATTCCTTGACATAAACACCATTCTTGTGCAGTTTGGCTTTACGGTTGGTGCCAATGTCTTCCTAGAATGCAAATCTCCTCTCTAGGCTCAGATTTTGTTTAGACAGCATAAGGTTTACCTCCAGGATTTGCCTGTATTTTATTGCATTCATTCTGCCCTTACAAGCCTTCTATGGCCTGCTACAGAAAAACTGCCCTACAGTATGATGCTGCCACCAAAGTACTTTAGCGTTGGGATGGTTCATTTATGATGATGTTCAATGTTTGGCTTACCCCAAAGTGTGGCTTTAAGATGAGAATTTGACATCTGTCTGGTTTACTGCATTAAAAGCTTTACTGCAAAGAGCACATATACTAACCTCCTCTCATGACCCAAAGCTCAATATATAGCAGGCTAGCCTGCTATATACTGTGAGTGCCGCATCCGGGATGGATCCTGACAATACTGTCGAGATCCACCCAGGTGTGTGAGTGACAGCTGGCTCTGCCTATATAGAGGCAGAGCCAGCTGTGCCCTCCCCACGTCTGTTCCTCCACTCAGCACTGGGGGAATCCCTGCGAAGAGTGGTGACTGATTGTCTCCACCTAGTGAGCAGTGACTATCGGGAAGTGAGCAGATTGGCTTCATGTTTCTGCTCACTTCCCGATCAATGGAGCCGACCTGTGACCGCTTCCTTGTCACAGGCTGGCTCTAACTATGAGGATGAGTGGAAATCACTCACCTCCTAGTTCTCCTTTTAATTAAAAAAAATCTGCACTGACCGTATTCTCCATGAAGAATGTCCGAGGTTCATAGGGAAATGTTTTGAAATATGTAGAATAGATGAAGGTAGGAATTTGAAATAACAATAGCAGGCTGTCTGGGGAGCTGAATATGAGGCAGAAGGGTTCTTCATGACCAGCCTGACTTTAGAAAGGCGTCTCTTACTGAATCAGAGGGAAGGGATGCTTTTTTTGAGACCAGCGCTGTGATTTACATGGACACTTCTACTGCTTGATAACAGTGAACAAAAAAAAATCCTATATGTTAATTAAGGGGCAACTCTTTGTGAAGTGAACCACCTGTTCAGAGGTATCCCATCGCACTCCAAACCATCATATCCTCATGTGTAGCTTAAATGGGTGCTGAAATGGCCACTGAATGGCACCGTAAGACTAAAGGAGATAATGAGGTCACCAGCACACCAAGGCCTCACTTCATCGATCTGTCTTTTATTGACGTTTAGATAGTTTAGATTAGTTACACCATGTTTTATCCAATTGTCAATGAAAGACGGATCGATGAAGTGGGGCCTTGGTGTGCTGGTGACCTCATTATCTCCTTGAACCACCTGGTGACTTTCAGTTGAGTTCAGTTGCAAAAATTCCTCAAGGTAGTTTGTCGACACCAGCTTCTGATGGTGTTTCTGCAGTTGGTCTTCTCTATCATGTTTATCCTACTTATGGATGTCCTGTTGAGCAAGTTGAACACCACAACATCACAACATGGGTTTGCAACCATTTCTGGCAGTTCAAAAGAAGTGCTTGTTCTGTCAGTGATATATGGTCCTAAGTTGCTGGATACCTGACAATCACAGCCACTGTATAGAAGTTTCTTCATCATCCCATTCCAAAATAATGAGCAGTAATTTAAAGCTGCACCAACCCCCCCTGGTAAACTTGGGAAACCATGCCTTTATGGAGATGGGTTTGCGCACCTCATCTCAATAATTTGGAGTGGTGTCCACATACTTTTGGCCAGAACGTGTATCTCGCTGTTGGGGGTCTCCAGAAGTCACTCAGTGTGTCAACAACCACGCATAAATTGTGTGGAATTGTTCTTTAAAGGCCTGTAAACTGTATGCATTAGTTGCTAGGTATTTTGGAGGGAAGTTTAAAGCAGAACTCCAGGAATATTTTTAATTAATCCTTGCAGTGGGGCTACTCCTGCACTGCAAGGGTTAATTGCTCATTTGTGTCTAGTGGGGAGAGTCTACCTTGCTGAGGGCTAAAAAGGGGTTAATTTGGGAGGGCAGATACTTCCCCTACAGCCCTTGCTGTTAAAAGGTAACACAGGTGAGAGGCAGAGGGAGTGTGGAGCTGAGAGACGGACAGAAAGGTCTGTGTGTGGCTGCTTAGAAGCAGATGGACTTTGTATAGGTGAGAGCACCAAAACGCTGTGCAATATTTTGGAAGGCCTTTTACTTTGTATTTTATGTTTTGCTGAAAAAAATCTTGTTACCGTTCTGCTGAAAGAAGCAATTTGTTTTTTGCCTGTGGAAGAATTAAAAGCCGTTAATTTTTAACGGACTGTATCGCAAACTCTTGTGTACCACTGGGGTCCCCACATAGGGTTAAAAAAAAATGATATACTTACCCGAACTGCCAAGCCGGCTTCTCTTTATAGACAGTCCCTGGAATATCTCCCTCTCCTCTGCAGCGGTCTAAAGTCCAGTAAATCATCACGTCTATACACTGTGCATAGATGTGAGGATGCTGAAGAACATTCCAATCCGCTACGGAGGAGGGGACAGGCTGCAGAGAACGCCATGACAGCTGGCTCGCTTGGAAATTTGGGTGAGTAAATCTTTATGCAACTAGACACAAATTTATTTTATTAACCCTTGCAGTGGGACTACCCCTACAGTGCAAGGGTTGGTTAAGTGCTAACCCTTGAAATGTAGGGGTAGTCCAACTGCAAGGGTTAATAAAATAAATTCCTGGAGTTCTTCCTTAATGCTTTATTTGAGATAACGCAGGTCATCGTTGTGTTGTGGTTCATACTGGGAAAGAAACTGTGCCAAGTCTTTCACATTTAATCACATTTGTCAGTACATCCATGTGTTCCGTAATGTACTTTATTGCAGAAATTACCCGGCCAACGTGTTTTATTATATAGTAATTGATGGTGCGGCTGTTTCTACATGAACTGTTTGAACCCACATGTGGCTGGTGTGCGTGCAGCTGTGGAATCGGGAAGAAACCTTTTTTTCATCTTCTCTATTTCAGTCCGACATGAGACAACTTTGGATGTTCTGTGATCCTGCTGGATCGACGTGTTTGTTTTTATTTATATTTTTCTTTTCTTTTTTTTCCCCTTCTGCAGCACGGAGCTTCACAGGAGGATTTCATTAGAGGAAGCCAAGAGCGAAATGTCAAAGATGTTATATTCGATATTGCCAGTCAGGCTTACGTACACCTGGAACATGTAAGTTTAGAGTTTCTTTCATGAAAAAAGGATTTTATGCCAGCAGGACTCTGTACTGTTCATTTTTATGCTACTTTTGTAGAACATTGCCTGGTTATGTCTAATAAAAAATGGTTATATGGTGTGTGTAGATCAAATGGAACTCAGAACTTCATCGGTTTACAGGGCAGGCAAATTAGTATTTCTTTTTTGGGTGGAAGCTTGTTTGCTGAATTTCCCAATGAAGTCTTATAACAAGGTCTCCCTGCTGGTGTTTCCAGTTCTACTGTCATTTGCTTTGTAGCCTCATGAGTGTCTATGCGGCTTCTGTATTCTCAGTTTTGTAGAATGATTGAGCCAGCAGTATCCATGACAGATGTAAAAAGTCAGTGACTAACCTACTGGAAATGACTCAAATCAATTGGCTAGCAGGGCTGCAGGGATGATTACTACAAGCACAAATCGGTTTACATAAATAATGAGCAAATATGGCTTCTCCACATTATACGGTATACACTAGCGCAGGGCTCAAAATTTCAGGTCCTGAGCTACTAGCCAGGCCTTCAAAGTTACTCGCCACCAGTTGCCCTGCATAACACAAACACACACAGGGCACAACGCGCACACAGCACAACACACATACAGCCACAGCACAACGCACAGGGCATTACACATACAGCCACAGCACAACGCACAGAGCATTACACATACACATTTCATCTGAAAGTAATTTTTAGTCTTCGCACATGTCTAATAATATGCGTGTGGGGGGAGCAGTTTTCACTTTTTTAAAATAATTTTTTACATTTTTTTATTTTTTTTTATTTTTTATTTTATGATTTATTTATTTTTTTACTGTTGGGGGGGCTTCGGGGAAATATTACGGGTCCAAACAGACCTCTGACATTTCCCTTTTAAAATAGAAAAGAAATTGAGGACACCAAATCCTCAATTTCTTTTTCAGCAGCCTAAGGAGAGAAGCCGCCCCGAGGAGGCTTCATTTCCACTCGCCCCCATGCATTTTTCACTCGCAAATTGCGAGGGGGCAAGTGGAAATTTGGAGCCCTGCACTAGCGCAACTATCAGGGTCGCATGTGCGACTGGGCGTTCTGCTACTTGGGAGGGGTGGCCCCCATCTCGGCACCTGGCCCCGGTAACCATCAAGGCACCCGAGGGACTCCTATGGCATGTTAGATGGATGGGGAAGGGCTATCTGACAACCCGCCCTTCTCATTAGGCTGCGCTGTCCCCCCGGCTAGCTCTCCACTCTGCCGACTTTGTGTGAAAAGAACACAGCCGGTTACTGTCAAGATGATGACTGCCGCTGATGTCAGTGGAGGATGTGGCACTGACAAGCTGAGGGGAGCTGCATGGGTTGTGTGAGGGTGTGACGTCACGGCTGAGGAGAGCGATAAGCAAAAGTTGTGAGGTGTTGCTGGTATGCAGGCAGATGCCTCCTTGTGTGGGACACATATCAGCTGAGCAGTGTTGGGCTGCTATAGATGAATAAGTTATGCATTTATCACACACAAGAAGGCACCTAATAGCTCTATTATGGCCAAAGTGAGCTTGGTTCACGTTTCTGGAACATTTGTCGGTAGTGGAATCTTGGATTCTCCCTCTACGACTTGGCCTCCTCCACAGGGGCCCAGTGTTAGTTACATCAATGCCTGGAAGCCCTACACCATATTGTCTGGCTTTTGAAAGGGGACCTCCTTAGAGTCAGGAAACTATCAGATCCTGTAATATCTACCATACTATCTAGCAGAAAGCTAAATACCTCTAGAATTTACTTCTGCTTTCGGAGGGCTTTCAAGATTTTTTGCGAACATCATATTGGCCCTTTGCAACCTGTATAGTGTATAGTGGAAGCCGCGTTACCTGTGAGTGTATAGTGGAAGCCGCGTTACCTGTGGGTGTATAGTGGAAGCCGCGTTACCTGTGAGTGTATAGTGGAAGCCGCGTTACCTGTGGGTGTATAGTGGAAGCCGCGTTACCTGTGGGTGTATAGTGGAAGCCGCGTTACCTGTGGGTGTATAGTGGAAGCCGCGTTACCTGTGGGTGTATAGTGGAAGCCGCGTTACCTGTGGGTGTATAGTGGAAGCCGCGTTACCTGTGGGTGTATAGTGGAAGCCGCGTTACCTGTGGGTGTATAGTGGAAGCCGCGTTACCTGTGGGTGTATAGTGGAAGCCGCGTTACCTGTGGGTGTATAGTGGAAGCCGCGTTACCTGTGGGTGTATAGAAACACATTTTGCACATCTTTTTGACTTTCATGATGTAAACACATTCAGATAAATGAACACGCCGAACTATGTTGGCCAGAGTATGTTCTTATCGAAGAAGCTGTAAAGAACAGCTGTGTGTCTGCCAAGCTTATCTCATCTCTGTAGCTTACTGTATGTATTATGATAATTCTGGTCTTATATCACCTAGACAGGAGTGTATTTACTTTGCAGGGATACGTTATATAACTGATAATGGCTTTGACTTTTCCTCTAAAGTGCTCACGGTCATGTTTTATGAACTAACATCTATAGTTCTTGCATTCAGACCATTAAAAATAATTCAGCCACTCATTGAGAGAGAACAAGAGCAGCTTATATTCAGTAATGGAAATATGTAAATCCCTATTTGATGTGGTATTACTTGCCTCACACAGCCCCCTAGCAGATAGTAGCTGCGCACTCTGCATGCTGATGTTTGAAGTTCTTGCAGATTGCAGACTGAAGAATGGCCAGAAAAATACAATTGTTTTCATAGGGCTGCAGTGTAGAAGCTGAACTTCAAACAGCTAAATACACAGATAGAATACATATATAGGAGCTGTTATACCTGCCAAATGATTTGCATTTCTGTCTATCAATTCCTAAGATTTACACAGCTCTGCCGCAGGAGACTGATGAGCTAATCTCTCTGTCACTCTGCACTTTCCACCTATAAGCATGTTCCTTGTTAGTGTATGAGTATGGCAAGACAACTGACTGGCCACTTGTGCAGCCTTTTCCTTTTCCAGTCTGAGCTCTGTATCTCTGAGATGTTTGTGGTGCAATCTATTCACCCTCTGGTGTCTCATATTAATTTCAGGTTTACTAGCTCTTATATGAGATGGCTTTGCACTGCACAAAACTACAATACTGGTTTAAAATATACATCCCAGTGTGTCCATGTTTCTTGATGTCTGCTTTATTAGTCTTGGTCAAAACGTGTGAAGATTGATGGATCTTTTTTATAACTGGAAATATGTAAATCCCTATTTGATGTGGTGTTACTTGCCTCACACAGCCCCCTAGCAGATAGGGAAGGAGAGTCTTATAACTTCTTCTTCTTGTTCATCTAATAGTTCATTTTTTCTTACCTAAAGTATATCTAAAGCCAAATCCTTTTATTAGGTGTGAGGGATTAATGAGGGGTTATGACCCCTGTCATGGTTTTATTGTTGCACAGGGGACCACAACCATCTATATTTGCAAAAAAAAACTATATACTGTATAATTACGGCACTATAACTTCAACTAAATGACAGGAGAACCTAGCCCACCCATAGTACTTCTATCAAGGGACGAAAGAGAGAATGTCTATGATTTAGCTGTTACTTTCACATGTTATAAAAATCATTCTAGATCCTATTCTACTTCACTGTATATATGTACATAAAGACATACATACTTTTAAACCAAGAAAAAAAAGTTACAAATAGCAGAAAAAAACTAAAATTATCAAGTTCCAATCCATGAAGTATTTGTAGCCTCAATGGTGAACATTTTATAATGAAAAATCACCCACAGAGATGGATCTTTCAAATACAGAGTATTGCTGTTCCTTTCACCTCCATATTATAATTAGTCCAAAACGAACGATTGGATAATAAAGCCCAGTCCATTCAGAATCGGATTTATCCATGGAAAGCCCAGACTGCAACAAACCTTTAAATATGCATAAGGTTGCATGTTGTAACGCCAAGATGTATAAATATATTGGCCAACCATATATTACAGTGTCTGCCTTGTATTATTAAAGTCTTTGTCAAGCATCCTATATAATTAAGATGATGTGCCAAAGAAAACATTCATAAACCACATATGGTATATTGCAGAATGCTATGTGCTCCATGTACCGTATATACTCGAGTATAAGCCGTCCCGAATATAAGCCGAGGTACCTAATTTAGAGACCAACCGCCTGCGTGAGTGGTGTATGACCAGATGCAGATGACCTAACCATCAGTGTATGAAACGTGTATGTCATGACGTATGAATGAGGCTGAGGCCCTCGTGTCAGATACATACCCATATATATAACATTTATTTCCACCCAGAGTTGCATTAATTTTTCACCAACGTCTTGTAGTGATGATGGGAGAGTCAGACCACTGCTTAAAATCTTCTGCAGCACATCCCAAAGATTCTCAATGGGGTTAAAGTCTGGACTCTGTGGTGGCCAATCCATGTGTGACAATGATGCCTCATGCCCCCTGAACCACTCTTTCACAATCTGAGCCCGATGAATCCTGGCATTGTCATCTTGGAATATGCCATTAGGGAACCTCATTTTGGGCACATAACATTGCTGAACCTAGACCCATCATCCAATGGAAGGCTCTTACCTACTTGCTTAGCCAAGTCCAGGTGGTGACTTTTTTTGGACAGGCAGTGTATAATGCAGCTGACTTCAACAAGGGTATTTAATGCTCACAAATTTAGCATCTATGTGTAGTGTGCATTGTAAGACAAAAAATATATATAGTACACCAGTTAATTGTAGCATACATACATAGCATTCATACATCTGTAACAGTCATCCCACTTTCATTATGACTAGATGTCATCCAATGACTTGCAATCGGTAAAACAGCAATAGTCTGTATATCCCGTGCAGCTGTTGAGTAATATATTTGCATGAAAGTTTTTGTGCCCGGAGTTCCGCTTGAACTTTTGCAGGGATTTAGATTTGTATGGGTGACACCAGTGTCGTTTTAATGATCAACATAAGCTGTGACAGAGATGGCCATTTCCTTTGTATTTTTTGTAAATTCAGTAAAAATACAGTTTAATTAAAGCGCCACTTAATTATTTTGCTATTCTAATAAAAGAACTGCTGGAAAATTAATGGTTTTCATTAAAAATGTGTAAATTGTAAAGCCAGACTAGCAGTCTGTGTCAGTCTGACATTGCAGGCGTTTGACAGATACTGTAGACATCGATGTTCATTACTTTATAGAAAATGTGTCTGCCCTGTTGTCAGAAACAGGGAAATTATTCCTGCAGGCAGTATAAGAATTATCAGAGCTTGCCTAGGATTTAATAGATGAAGTCTTGCTGAAATGGAAAGATAACACTTTTTTTTTGCTGTGATGGTGTCATGATCAGTGTTTGGTGTTTTTAACTAAATTTCTGGAACAATGTCTTGACAAAACTTGTTTTAGGCTAATGTATGCTGTATGAGCGGGTCTGTCCTGCACCCTTATAATTGTACCCATATAAAGCAAATTACCTTGCATGCAATTAAAAAGCAAATCTATGTTGTCTATAGACACCAGAGTGGGTAAAGCTTGCAGTGTGTGCTGCAGCCTGCTTAAAGTTTGTTTATAGCTATAACCACTACAGCCCTAAGGTTCAGTATTAGGCACTCTGAAAACTAAGCATTAGCAGACGATATCTTCAGTGAAAACTTCAAGTCGGAATGATAATTCGATCCAGAGATATAGGCAGCCGAATGTATATGCAAATATTGACTTTTCCTTTTAAAGTCGAGCTTGGCTCTACAACCTGAACCTATAGGGGAGCCTGGGAAGCAGAAGAGGATTGGGTCAAGGTAAGTTTTGCTTATTACTAGCCTATTCCTTTTGTCTCTGGATCTACTGATCATTTTAACATGTCTTTTTCACTCAAGGTAAGGCTCTGATCCTGCATCACATGTTGCAGTGTTAGGTACGCTGCGGTGCCGTTACTTCTTAATGGCACCCTAACACACCTAGCCATCTGATGTGCGTTGCATCGCACCACATCACATTGTAAACTTGACTGCCTTTAGGCATTCCCTAAAGACTCATCTCTTCAGGGAAGCCTATCCCACCTCAACCTAACCGCTCAACCATTACGTTCTCAAACAATTCATTCCCACACAGCTACCTCCTCATGTATCACGTCCCCCTCACTTTAGGCCCCGTTCCCACTGCGCGATATGCAAATCGCGCGTTTGCCGCGAGATTAGCCGCGCGATATCGCGTTCAAGCTTGCATTGAGCAAGCTTGAATCGCGGCTAAATCCGCTCCAAAAAGGATCCTGCTGTAGCGACACACGACCCGCGACAGCAGGACCCTTTGCCCCATTGAAATGCATTGGAGCGCGATATCGGGCGGTAATTTGCCGCGATATCGCGGGAATTACCGCGCGATAAATCGCTCAATGTGAACGGGGCTTTAGATTGTAAGCCCTCAGGGGCAGGGCCCTCTTTACCATCTTGTCTTGATTTGTATTGTGATTGTAATGCCTTCCCTATATTGTATAGCGCTGCGCAAACTGTTGGCGCTATATAAATCCTGTATAATAATAACTATTACCATGCAGTGTGGTGCGATGTGATTTTTAAAAAAGGTGCATGCACTTGTTTGAATGTGATTTAGCTGTAGTAGGCAGCCCATTAAAATTAATTTAGTGCCCTACCGCAGCACACTACAATGCACCCTACAGCACCCCTGCAATGTTACATTACTGAGGCATGAACTTAAGCTTATTTCTGTACTTTAAAATGGCTCAGGTTATTACAGGACTACTTTTGTATAAGTGTATGTCTGGGCAAAATGAATAAAAAAACATATTCAGTACATGTTTGCAATACATAATGAAAAAAGAGAAGTTAACCCAGAGTACCAAACCCTGATATAATTAGCCCATTCGATTTTTGGGCGTATTAGTGTTTAAATGGCTCTCAGAGAGAAACAACCCCCAGCTGCTTAAATTAGACACAAAAAAGAAAAAGGTGAGATGAGCCAATTTTTCTCACCTTTTTTCTTTTATGTTTGCAATACATACTGTTCACATTTCCTGTATTTTTTTCTGTTTTAAAAACACTGCAAGTACAAAAAATTGCCCGGTGATTCTTCCAAAATTCCAGCAAGCTCCTAACTGTACTGAGCTAAAAACACCTCCTCTGCTGCAATGAAATCCCTGCCCAGTTCTCCCCTGCTGGGCTGCAGAAGGCCTCCTCCATGCCATAGAGATAAGGAGGGGGAGTTCTGTAGTCTACCACTGGAGAAGTGAGCAGGACTGACATTACTGCTTGGCATTTTAGTGCAGTAGAGGTGAACTTGTCAAATCAAACGGAAAGATAAGCTGGCCAAACACTTTACAATTTATAGGCTGAACGAGAAAAATACTTGATTCCCCCATCCACGCTAAAATGGATGGACCAATCTCTACTGCCGGCTATTGTATTCTGATCAGAATACTTAAACAATGACTGCAGCTGATTGGCTGCCAACAATTTTCCACCCGGCTCCATCGACAAAAGTGGATTGGAAAACCAAATTTAAAATCAAACCGGGAGGTTTCGGAGATCGAATTAAGGCTGAATCAGCAGGAAACAGCCGTAATGAGATCCGTGTATGGCCAGCTTTAGACCAGATAAACATGTATTTTTCTGTACTTCCAGTGGTTTTAAAGGGATAAATTGTACATGTGCAAAGATGTGCTGCATACGTTTGTCTTTATTTTACCCAGACATACACTTATAGGCCTCATTCACACTGCCGTATAATATGCTGCACATAGATATTTTCCATAGATATGGAGATGTATTTTTACATTGTAAAGATGCGCAAAAAAAATTGAACCAAGATGCTTTCGGTCTCGAAATTTGTGTATTTTACACGCGTGCGCACGTACACAGTACATTAAAGTTTCTATTTAAAGTTATGCATTCTGGGATTGCATACAGTTCACGCATATACACGCCTGTACGCATTTAGAAATATGCATACAATTTTTTGCTCTTTCGTTGTGTGTGAATGAGGCCTAAGAGCTAGTTTACACCAAGCGCGTTCCAGGAGCAGAGCAGTTACAGAACGGATCAAAACTGCGTCCAATGTATTCCAATGGTATTTTGGGCTCTAGTTCACACCGCAGCATTCAGTTCCAGAGCATATAAAAAAACTGCAGCAAGCCTTATTTTTCCTGCTCTGGAATGCATGCAAACACATCAAAACGCATGCAAACTCGCTGGAACGCACCATTTTAGGCACAAAAAATAACTTTTTAAACAAAAACGGCCCGAAACGCGGCAAAACACACTGCACTGCGTGTGCAGAAACTCATGCAGATCTGGTCCGCATTTAGTGTGAACAAGCCCTAAGGCCCGGTTCACACCTGGGCGTTTTGTAGCGCATTCCTACGCTCTGCAAAACGCTCAAACACCGAAATCCCATTATTTCCTATGGGTATGGTTCATTCAGGGCGTATTACAGGCCGTATGAACGTGCTACAAAACGCCCTACGCCCAAAGAAGTACAGGAGCTTCTTTGGGGCGTTTTTGTAGCGCGTTTCCATTGGGATACAGCCAAGTAGCCCTCAAATGCGCGTTTGTCGTGCGTTTTTACCGCGAATCGCACGACAAACGTGCATATTTGATACGCCTAGGTGTGAACCCAGCCTAAATGGTTTGGCCGCGTTTTTGATGCGTTCCAGTAAGGGAAACATTTTTTTTTTGCTGGAGTGGGGCTGTCAGTATGTTAGCTGCAGTGCAGTGCGTTTTTGCTGCGTTGTGCGTTTCCTGACCGTACAAAATGTGACATGCAGTATTTTTTCTGTCGTAACCTGAACGGACTGCGCACGTGAGAACTGTAGCCCATAAAACACACAGGGATACATTGGAATGCATTTTTAGTGCAGGAGCGTACGGATCCGGTCAACACAGAAAACGGACGTCGTGTGAACAGGCCCTAAGGGTGTCAAGTAAGCTGCTTGAAGCTAGTTCATTGCTTTGCATATGCCTGCCGAATCTGATGCTCTTCATAACAGCATTTGCATGCTGAGAATTCTCACTGTCTGTGTGTTTAGGGCCTGAAGATCCAATGCAGGTTTGAACAATGGCCAACTACACAGCAAAAATACTTTGTGTTATAACATTTGTAAATGTTTATTTTTCCTTTTAAACTCAAATAATGAATCCCTTGTAACATTCAAGTTATACCTTTTTTTCGTTTTTCTCCCTCAAGTACATTGTCAGTCTTTATAGCAACAGATGCAGCAGTACAAAACTAACACCCGTACTTTAATTTTGTCATTCAGGCTCGGTCTTTCCAGAAGAAGGTTTGTGAAAAAGCATTTCCTGCCTTTAATGTAACGGTAAGTATCAGAACTGGTTGCTATTTTTGTTGTCAGCAGTATGTTGGTAGAAGTTTCAAGGATACCTCCACACCAGAGTGTGTGGCTTTGGTAGTGACTCATTTGTGAACATGCTGATGTAAAACTTGGTGAGCCTGTACTTTGCCCGTCTTAGGTAATGTAACAGGTTGACTTTACTGTAGGGAGCATAAAGAACCAGTTATTTGCTCTCCCCTACCATCAGACCAAAGAAGAAATACCTGGAATGTCTTGGCATTGGCAACAAGTGATGCCTCTACAGTACTCTGTGAGTGACCATTCAACAGGTCCAATCACTGCAACTTGGAGCAGAGTTAGCAGAGTTAGCACGCATAGCCCTGTATAAGATTCAAGTTGATGAGCAAGTCATTCTGCTAAAGAAGCCCAGCTCCAGGATGCATTGTTGCATACATACCTTTTTTTCACCCAATGAGGTTTCGGTCTGGTCACGTGACACAATGGATCCTGATGATAAAGAAATCAGCATCACATAATGATCTGGTACCCTCCTCCTCTATAGCATTTAGAACCGTCATGCAGAGCTTGCTGAGTGTTATGTGAACTTTTCATAAACGTTTATGTCAGTTTGGGGCATCTAGTGTGTATAGGAATCCGTTATGAATTTTGGTTTTGTGCGATTTATAGGCATTATCAGTTTTTTTTATTTGACTGGTTTCATTCCAGGTTGCAATTACTCATAAGAATATTGGGTTTTGGAATGCAGCTATACTTCATTTTGTGCTATGCATAAGAGTGTGCAAGAAGATTGAGTTTTGCAGCGTTCTGTAAGATTTAGGGGTTAAGGGTCGCTCTGTTTGCTTAAATAGACTTTGCTGGGTTATTCAATTGTTTTATAATTTAGTACATTTTTATGGAAGTTTCAAGTAGTTCAACAAACCAATAAAAGCAACTATACATGAAAGAAACATGGAAATTGGTTAATACAAAGTGTAGATCAAGAATCGGGCACACAGGCCTGTGGTAACAGTACACACAGAGAATGTAACAAGTGATGGGACTAGTGTGCAGAAATGGCAATATCAAGAAAGGAAAAGCTTAGAGAGTCCACGTTCAGGGAAAAGAACTTAAAAGGCTCAGATAGTATATCAAATATGAATGAAGGGTCCTGTATTATGCTAGATTAGAGATACCATCCTGGGAAACCAGGGCCAGTGGGTGAAAAAAGAAAGGGAGGAATAGTAGTAAGTAGAGAGTGAGAAGAAGAAGAAACAGAATAGCTAGAGAACCAACCCCATTCGTGGGCAAAGGTAGAGACTAGCTACCTAAAGCAAACCTATAATGGATAGAGTTCTCTCAAAGTTTTGAGACTGTAAATCTGTCAACCACGGTTTCCAGACACTTTCTATATTTTATTTTTTAAAATCTTTATTATGAGCATAAACTGATGTTGGGCTTTAAACTCTTACTACGGCAGAGGGGCCTTTCAGAGGTTTCCATCCCTGGAGATTTGAGGGCTTGATTAGTCTGAACGCCCTTTAAATGAAAGTATACATTTTTATATTGTATAGAATTGTTCAAATTGTGTACATTTCACACATGCTTATATCATTTTGTGGTGATAGGTTCACTTTAATTTCCAGAGCTTTTTTACACTGAAGCAATTAAATTAAAACTGTTTTTGTTTTCCAGGTTCCCTTGGACGGTTATCTAAAAAGACTCCGTAAAGCAGACTTCAATATCTTCCACCCTAGTTTACAAAGGCGAGACCCCTGGTTTCCATTGTCTTTATATGTCCAGTGCTGGAGAAAAACCTATTAAAATGTAAAAATATGCTCTCTTGTGCTCATTCCTGTCGCCTAAATGCTGTGATAAACCTATTAAAATGGTAACGGGGAGCTTTTCGCTCTTGCGTTTAAGGATTATGCAGTCTCCTGCATTAGAGCACAGATTGTGATGTGCCTAGAGTATGAAGCAGTATTACATTCTATTATGCCCCTTAAGTTTAACAAGCTGAGGGCTTGAATAAATGTACTAAATTGCCACTTATATTATAAATACGACACCTGCACATCCCTTCATATGTCCTGTAAGGAGAACTCGAGAAAACCAGGGCATTCTGATATGTAAATAGCTACCCGCTACTATTGTTGACTCTGACCTGCCCCCTCCTATTTTCTGAGCTTCACTACTGGCCCATCACTGTGATGGTGTCCTCACTAGCCAATAGTCAGGTACGGGAGGGCTAGGTTGGAGCTGAAAACCACAGAAGTTAATCACCATTTACATACTGTAGCATTTTGAATTTTCCAATTTTTGGGGGATCTCTATAGGACTGCTGACTGGACATGCAGACACCTGGAGGTGGATTCCTAACAATCTTAGTGGCAGTTCATTACATTTACTCAGCCAACAGGTTTGCTTTACTAAAAACTTTTTCTGAGAAAGGTAGTCAGCTGACTACAAATGCAACATGTCTGGTTGTCTTTTCAGCCCTCTGGCTTCAATATTTGCAGTCACTGACCGGCAACAAGTCTGCAGATGAAAAGTTCTGACATGTTACTGCTTGAGGAAGGGGATCCTGCGGGACCCCGAAACGGTTGTTGCATCTATGTGATATGTTGCACCTCTTTAATAAATAAGACCTTCCACGTTTATATTGGAGTGCCGGTGTCTCTGCTTCTACTGATACTGAGTTTTTGGTCACGCGAGGATGCTAATATATGTCCTCCCGTGACCCTTAACCTCCCTGGCGGTATGATATTACTTACCCATACTTCTCTTTTAATGAATACATGAATAGTCTACATTGGGTGGATTGTGTCTTATATGGTTCAAGTTCACTTTCTGCATCTCTCGTCGCACTATTGATCCTATCCCAGGGATTGCTGATAAAATGTAATTTTTTTAGTTTGTATGTTTTTTAGAATAGAAATTCAGGACGCACTGACATGAAGCTGTTTTGTTCAGACTCATCTCCTCTATCTTGATTGTCAAACGTGCTAAGGTAATAAAAGGAGACCGTAACTAAAATTGTAATATCAGGAAAGTGAAACTTGAAAAGAAAAAAAAAAAAGAACAAATGTTTAGGGAAAGTTACTGAAACCTGTTGCTGCTGTTATGGGGTTCCCCAAAAAAATAAAGCAGTCATTTACACTGATTTGCCGATTATTAGTCCAGAGTTTTTCTGCCCTTTTTCAATAACGGTTACAAATATTGCAATCTGATTCCGAAATCTCTGTTAGATTTGATGGTGACTGTGTAGTGTAGAGACCTACTGCACTGGATGTAAATTGAATGGATTCTTTAGCTAGACCTTGTACCACAGTGGCCATACACATTACAGTCTGATAGTGCAATCCCTCTATAATCTTAGATTTCCCATGAGGTCTACCTAACAACAAATCCATTCAATTCATATAAACTCATATTGGTCCTCCCATTGTGTAGTTGCTACTAAATGAAAAGGACATTTTACAATCCGAATGTAACGCGTGGCCAGCTTAACCCCTTCATGACTGAGGCCCTTTTTTCCATTTTTGCACCCATGTTATATTCCACATTTTAAACCTGCACCATGGAAAATGCTGTGTCCTGTTTTAAATGTTTATTTGTGATTTTTATTTTATACGCTGTAAACAAAAACTATTTTAAAAACATCACTTAAAGCGGACCTTTACACTAAAAAATTAGATTCTACCAATGCATCCCTCTATGTATGATGATTAATAATAACATAGACATGTCAGGTGTAAAATGATGTGATTTTGAAATACTTACACATGCAGAGCATTCACTTCATGCTTTGAAAGGGCAAAAGGACTTCAGTTTGCCAAAGCAATGCATCCTGGGAAGATTACATCAGCTGAGCATTGCTGGGAAATCTAATTTCCGTGAAAGGCATTTTCCTCCCCTGAGATAATGTGCATGGTCACATGTCCTAGTCACATGTGCCAGAAATCCAGGAAGTAAAAGGAGAGCTAGTAATCTGCCCTTAGTAAACATGGCCACTGTCAGAAGACTGGGGAAGAAAAGAGAAATAAGGAATGCAAAAAATAAAAATCCTGCATTTATCTAGAAGTATGTGTGTGTAGATTGTCATTACTAAAAATTTCTAAAGGTGTGTGTGTGTGTGCGCGTTATTTTAAAGATATGGGTAAAGGTCCGCTTTAAACAAATCTCTATTTCTTCTTCTTCTCTGATTATCGAATTTTTCTCTCCAATAACATTTCCCCTGATTAACTCGCTCTAACTCCCTCTACCCACTCTATCCTCCCATTATGTGTCATCTTTTCTGGAGTACAGTATACCTCCCATACTATCGTAAACGAAAACGCACATTATGTGGGGATCTCTGAGAAATCCATGCTAAGCCTTTCCGTTTCATAAACCTCACTGATGGATTTTCTTCCGCTCACTACAAATATTTTATGGCTAACATGTATTGCTTATAACATCAATGTCATCCTGCATTTACCTTTAAAATTCACTATGATCTTTCCTGCTAAACAATCTTATACAGCATAGATGTTTTGCACATACAATAATATATTCTTCTGCTTCTCCTTATATCTGTTACCAAAATGTATGCTACACTGTGTTTCCAGGCCCAGTACATACCTGTTTATCTATTTTTTTTTATATTGTAATAGCTAAAATCTAAAAATTAATAAAAAATACTTATAAACTTAAATGTAAAAAAGGTTTATAGGTATTGTACTTTCCTTTCAATTGAACATCTGACAACTATTTATCTTTATAGGAAAAATTAGAACTAATATTATTTTAGGACAGCAAGCTATTGCAAATGGTTCAAGCAGGTATAAGGAGCAATGAAACAGATCTTTTAGATGAGGCATTAGTCCTGCAGATGAGGCATTAGTGTACAGAGTATCATGGCATTATATACAAAATTATATTAATGCAATATGCAACATAGGCACGAACAATTCCATAAACAATAAGGGTTTAAGAAATAGCTCAGCAGGTATTAAAACATAACTAGATGTAGCAGAACATATACAGAATAATACTGTTCCTCTTTAAATGACAGGTAATTAAAATAATGAAACAAATCCAGCCTATTTATTGGAATGCTCCACTTCATTGTTTTACTTTTATTATAATACAAAATTGATTTTCTTGGCACAGTGCATCAAACATCGATTTTAATAAGAATAGCTCAACGTGAGGATTGTTTTCTATACAGTTGCTGAGTTGGGTTGACAAATTAAGAATGCAAGTTTTATTATGATTCTAAATCTAAAAGTGAATTTCAGATTTTCGTGTTTTAAATATGGAGCTTATTGTATGATGATAAATGATTCATGGCAGTATTCACTTGTGTACCATAGATGCCAAAAAGTCATTTATTGCTGAAAAAATATTTTAACATAGCTTATAAAAAGTAATTTATTAACTTCCCCAACTAGATGGACACAGAAGATTGTTTATTGGTGTGGTGTGTGCAAAAACTGACCACCCACCAGGGACTAAGATATTTACTGTATTCCAGGTCCACCTTGACAGAAGGCTGGCAAGCATTCCAGCTTAGATTGTGATACTGTAAAGATGAAGGTTTTATCTCCTGTTGCTTCGGGAACCCAAGAGACTCAGTTTGTTTAATACAACGGAAGTCTCCTGTATGACAGTGTAAACCAAATCCAGTTATTATCTGATGCACAAGCCTTATACAGTGAATAGAAAAACTTGCTCTATCTTCTCTGACTGAGCCATGAATCTCATATGCTCAAAGACACCGCAATTCACAATGGGAGGATTTCAGCTACAGAGGCAATGCTGCCATTCCAGAGACAGGACCGTCTTTAATATTGATTGGAACCTGAGATTTTTACCAAGATTTCAGGAAAACCGAAACTCAATTTCTAATTAAGATCATTGTTTTAGATCATTGTTTTAGATCATTTTTTAAATTTTAAAATTGCTAAAATATGTTGAACCATAATCTGTGCAGTCCCACTCATAAGGGCTTATTCACACTGTAGCTGTAAAGGTGGTACTAATCTCTGCTAATTTGTCCTACAAACGTCAGGTCCAGTGGCGTAACCAGAGTTCTGGGCGCCCGGGGCAGACATTTTTTTCGCCCCTCCCCCCCCCATTATATAAACAACCACTGGAACTGTAAGTCTAAATGTTTGTGCATAGCTAAACGGATCTGTACACACACCTGCATTTGGAAAGGGGGTGGCGCATTGTGATGGGACAACCCAAACTCTGAATGCAACATTTAGACCAAGGTTGCCTATTGCTTGTGTTGCTCTGCTGGGAAAGTTGTCCAAAACTAGGCAGAGTGTTGCTCTAGTAGCGAAGGCATTGATGGGTTTTCTGCGTCTGAAGTAGTGAACACTTGGCTTAAAGCTCCATCATAACTAACTACTGTCATTTAACTGCTGATATTTCCTCCACATCTGGGAAGATAGAAGGGGGTTTAACACCGCGGATGTCAACTGGTTAACAGCGGTTTAAACTTACCTGTGTCTTCCCCTGCGCACTCCCGTCCGAAAATCTGAAAATTCTCGGGCGGTTGCAAAGCATCTTGAGGCGGGCGCATGCGTAGTTTCGATTTTCAGCCGGGAGACGAGGAGAGGCACAAGGTAAGTATGTGGACGCGTGCACCCGCATGCAGACACCGTGGGACAGGACGTGCCGGCAAGGACAGAAGAGTCAGCGCTGGATTGGAGACCCGCAACAGCGCTGGAGAGAAGGCTGAAAAGGACAGGAAAGAAGATCGGATTAAAGGAGAACTATGAGATGAGTGATTTTCACTCATCCTCATAGTTCTAGCCGACCTGTGACAATGAGACTGTCACAGGTCGGCTCAGTAGATCGGGAAGTGAGCGAACACATATCGGTGTTTGCTCACATCTCGATCCTGTCACGGCTCTCTGCCGTGACAGGGGAGGGACCTGATTCCCCGCTCCGATCCTCCAGCGCTGACTGGCAGGATGGGGGAGGGGGCGGGTACAGTTGGCTCTGCCTCTAGATA